CGTTCGCGCAGCCTATAATCTCACGTAACAAATGCGAGCTGCTTTCTCTCCCACTCGGCTAAGACCAGCCAATTAATATAAGACGTAACACAAAAGAACCAAGTAGCTATGACAATGCATAAAGCATTGCATGGCATGCCATGTTGCATAACCGAGATAGGATATTGTATAGTATGGCGAACCATCAACATGATTATAGTCTGGTAACGGTAGCGGTACGAGTGGGCAGTTCAATGGTATGGCATGGTGTGGTAAATGATGCAAGTATGGTAATGGTAAATTGATGGTATGGTATGTATGGTATGGTATGGTAATCGGTATGGTTACAGGTATGGTATGGTATTATCAAGCATCGGTATGGTATGGTATGGTTTATGGTATGGTGGGTGTGGTGTGGTGTGGTGTGGTGCGATGCAGTGCGGTGTGCTGTGCTGTGGCTGTGGTGTGGTGTGGTGTGTGTGCTGTGACTGTGGCCTGTGCTGTGCTGTGCTGTGTGTGTGGTTGTGTGTGGTGTGGTGCGGTGCGGGTGTAGTGTGGTGTGGTGTGGTGTGGTGTGGTGTGGTGTGGTGTGGATGTGGTGTGTGTGGTGTGGTGTGGGTGGTGTGGTGTGGTGTGGTGCTGGTGTGGTGTGGTGTGGTGTGGTGTGGTGTGGTGGTCGGTGTGGTGTGCTGTGGCTGTGGCTGTCTGTGGTGGCTGTGCTGGGTGCTGTGTGCGGTGGGCGGTGCGGTGCGGATGCGGTGCGGTGCGGTGCGGTGGGGCCGGTGCGGTGCGGTGGCGTGCGGTGCGGTGCGGTGCGGTTGGCGGTGGCGGCATGCTGTGGTGGCGGCGTGCTTGTGGTGGGGCGGTGCGAGGTGCGGTGCGGTGGCGGTGCGGTGCGGTGGCGGCACTGCTGTGGTGGCGAAAGCGTGCGCTTGTGGTGCGTCGGTGCGGTGGCGGCGTGGCGGTGCGGTGCGGCGCGGACGCGGCGCGGCGCGGTGCGGTGCGGTGCGGCGTGGGTGCTGTCTGTGGTGGCGGTGCGGTGGCGGTGGGCGGTGGGCGGTGCGGTGTCGGTGTGGTGTGGTGGTGTGGCTGTGGCCTGTGTGGTGTGCGTGTGGTGTGGTGTGGTGTGGTGTGGTGTGGTGCGCGTGCGGTGGGCGGTGCGGTGCGGTGCGGTGCGGTGCGGTGGCGGTGCGTGGCGGTGCGGGTGCGGTGCGGTGGCGGTGCGGTGGCGGTGCGGTCGGTGCGGTGCGGTGGCGTGCGGTGGGCGGTGTGGCGGTGCGGTGCGGTGCGGTGGGAGCGGTGCGGTGCGGTGGCGGTGCGGCTGCGGTGGGCGGTGGCGGTGGCGGTGCGGCTGCGGTGGCGGTGCGGTGCGGTGCGTGCGGGGCGGTGCGGTGGCGGTGGCGGTGAGATGGCGGTGCGGTGACGGTGCGGTGCGGTGCGGTGGGCGGTGGCGGTGCGGTGGGCGGTGCGGTGCGGTGCGGTGCGGTGCCGGTGCGGTGGTCGGTTGGGGCGGTGCGGTGCGGTGCGGTGGCGGTGCGGTGCGGTGCGGTGCGCGTGCGGTGGCCGGTGCGGTGCGGGTGCGGTGCGGTGCGGTTGCGGGCGGTGCGGTGCGGTGCGGTGCGCGTGCGGTGCGGTGCGTGGCGGTGCGGTGCGGTGCGGTGGCGGTGCGGTGCGGTGCGGTGCGGTGGCGGTGCGGTGCGGTGCGGTGGCGGTGGGCGGTGGGCGGTGCGGTGCGGTGCGGTGCGCGTGGGCGGTGCGGTGGCGGTGCGGGTGGCGGTGTGGGCGTGGCCTGTGCTGTGGTGCGGTGGTGGTGGGCGGTGTGCTGTCTACCGTACTGTTTGCTGCTGCTACTGATGCTACTGTTGCTAGCTGCTACTAGCTGCTACTGTTGCTGCTGGCTGTTGTTGCTGAGTGCGACTGTTGCTGCTGCATACTGCTACGCGGCTACTACTGCTACTACTACTATACTGCAGCTGGCTGATTGGCTGCTGCTGCTGGCTGCTGGCTACTACTACTGCCTGTTCCTGATAGTAGCGACTGTTGCTGGCTGCTACTTGCTGCTGCTGCTGCTGGGTGCTGCGCTACTGGCTGCTAAGTACGACTGCTGCTAACTGCTGCTACTACTGCGCTACACTACTACTAACTACGCAGCTGCTATTGCTGGCTGCTGGCTGCTGCTACTACTACTGCTGTTCGCTGGACTAGTAGACTGTTGCTACCGCTACTGCTGCTGCTGCTGCTGCTACTATGGCTGTTACTGGATAGTAACGCACTAGTTGCTGCTACTGCGGGCTGCTCGCTGCGAGGTAATTTACCGTCGGCTTTTCACATTCACAGGGGCAGATGCTAACGATGAATATAACTTCTAATCGAGATGCTGCCGTGGCTTGTGCGGAAGCAGTGCAAATCCTCTGAAGACCATTAACAAACCCATTTCCTAAACGAATTTAGACCGTCCCCGATAAACGTCAAGGACTGCAAGGGCGCCGGCCACTTGACTGGGCACTAAGGCACATTTCGGATTGATTTAGGTCATTCGAAGCCACCCTAGCTTCCGCAAATATGTTGGCGGCAGAACACATATCAAATCAATAGTAATGATAACTGTGTGCGTGCGTGCGTGTGTGCGTGTGTGTGCGTGCGTGTGTACGTGGCATGCGTGTGGTGCGTGCATGCGTGTGTGTGTGTGTGTGTGTGTGGCGGTGCATGCATGTGAAATGCGTGTGCGTGCGTAGGCGTGGCATGCGTGCATGCGGTGCGTTGTGCTGTGATCGCCGTCAGCGACGTACCTACGCCTTGCCTTTTTACGACGCATTATTTTGGAGCGTCAGACTCGTATTTGCTCCTCATTGCCTGTGATGCTGCTACTGCTGCTACTGCTGCTGCTGCTGCTGCTACTACTACTACTGCTGCTGCTGCTACTGCTGCTACTGCTGCTGCTGCTGCTGCTACTACTACTACTGCTACTGCTGCTGCTGCTGCTACTGCTGCTGCTACTGCTGCTGCTACTACTACTGCTGCTGCTGCTACTGCTGCTACTGCTGCTGCTGCTACTGCTGCTACTACTGCTGCTGCTGCTGCTGCTGCTACTGCTGCTACTACTGCTGCTGCTGCTACTGCTGCTACTGCTGCTGCTGCTACTGCTGCTACTACTGCTGCTGCTGCTGCTGCTACTGCTGCTACTGCGGCTGCTACTGCTGCTGCTGCTGCTGCTACTACTACTGCTGCTGCTGCTGCTGCTACTGTTGCTGCTACTACTGCTGCTGCTGCTGCTGCTACGGCTGCTGCTGCTGCTGCTGCTGCTGCTACTGCTACTGTTGCTACTGCTACTGCTGCTACTACTGCTACTGCTACTACTGCTGCTACTGTTGCTGCTACTGCTACCACTGCCAGTACGACTGTTGCTGCTGCTGCTGCCGAGGTATTTTCCGTCGCTTTCGCAATCACAGCAGATGCTAACGATGATTATAACGTCTAATGAGGTCTGCCGTGCTGTCGGACGCAGTGCCAATCCCTCTGAAGACCAATTAACCCATTTCCTAACGAATTAGACCTCCCCGATAACGTCAAGGACTCAAGGGCGCCACTTGCTGGGCAGCTGAGCAAACTTCGGATGATTTAGTCATGAACCAATAGCTTCGCAAATATGTTGCGAAAGAACAAATTCAAAAACATTGCGTGCGTGCATGCGTGTGCGTGCGTGCGTGTGCGCGCGTGCATGCGTGTGTGCGTGCGTGCGTGCGTGCGTGCGTGTGGGTGGGTGTGTGTGTGGGTGGGTGAGTGTGTGTGTGTGGGTGTGTGTGTGTGCGCGCGCGCACGCGTGCGTGCGTGTGTATGAGTATGTGTGTGTGTGTATATGTGTGTGTGTAATGTGTGTGCGTGCGTGCGTGCGTGCGTGCATGTGTGTGTGTGTGCGTGGGTTCCTGTGTGTATGAGTGTGTGTGCGTGCGTGTGTGCGTGCGTGCGTGCGTGCGTGCATTCATGTGCGTGTGTGTGTGGGGGTGTATGACACGCGCACAACCTACGATGAGGTATCGCCTTACATTCTCACACGGAATTGCATACGTGAGGCATTAGTGCATTTTACTTGAGAAAATCACACGAATCTGTGTATTGCCGATGTTGCGAGGTTGAAGGCGACCTGTTTGTGCGTGTGAGTGTGTTTTCGAGCGTCGTACTGTTTGCGAGGCTAACGTGTCTAAACCTAATACCTAATGTTAATCCTGCAAATCCCGCTAGATTCAAGGGCGATATATATATATATATATA